GGGCAGGAGAAGGGGGAAAAATAAGAACCAAGAGAGATTATGTAAAGGTGCAAATTTCCAATGATGAATGTCATTATATTGTATACCTTAAATGTACCAATAAAATAAAATTTTAAAAAAATAGAAAAATAAAAGAACAGCCCTGGGTCCTGGAAATTTCATGCTGATTCTCACTCAAGCAAATGACTGTTAAGAAGTGGGGAGGGTGCATGAGACACTTGAGCGTCTTGTTACAGAAATTGTCCACTGTTCATACAAATTTTTTTACAGGAAAATGGCATGTGCACAGGCTGCAGGTGAAAAATGGAACTCCCTGCTCTCTGCCCACTCCGCACCTACATTTGCACTTCTGGCCCCCACATAGTGCCTTTTCCATAACTTCCGCCCCCTTCCCAATCTGCCCTGAGTTCCTATAACAGAGAAATCACCAAAAGGATTTTTTATTTAGGCTCAGATTTCTCTCCAAGAGATGACACTACTTTCAAACACTAGTTTGTTTGGTAATATTTTTCACCCAGCAGCAACACTAATGTTCAATAGCAAAACTTTAAGAAATGCTAATCTTGTTCACCCTGTTGTTTTAAATTGCTCTATGTGTATAAAATTTGAAACAGTTACAAAGAATTTAGTCTCTTGCAACTTGAATTTTTAAATTCATCTTAAAATTGTGAATTTAAAAAATGGGGAAAAATGGGAGAAAAAATCTCAACTTCATTCTGTAAGGTTTTTTTTCTAGGATAACAATAAGAAAAACAAAAGGTTCAGGTGAATTGTCAATCTCTTCTTTTACTGCACATTTTCTTTATGTAATTCCACTCAAATTTAAATAAAACTGTACTTGCCCTTTATTGATTATTCCTCTCAGTAGATGAATATTTCTATCCTTAGACTCATAATGAAAAACACTAGATTGAAAAAGGTGCCTAGGGAATTCTGGGAAATCCATGAGCAAATTTTCACCTGGGCCCACTCAGTGTTGCATGTGGCATTCTAAAGGCCCATTCTACTTTGCATCTGTGCTTGGTGCTAACTGCAGCACCCACCGAGAGAGATCTGAAGGAAGATGGACTCGCCCATTGTGTTTCAGACTCGGGACCTCATCCAAATGAGGTACACAGGACAGTCACTCAGTGACTGTGTGTCACATGAGTGATGCCCAAACTCACATTCCCTTAAACTGGAATAAATCAGGCTGGAAAGGTGCTGTGGTCTTAGTCTGTGGAGCAGGAAGACTCAAACTACAAAGCACTTACTCTGCTTTGCAGGCAATGTGGGTGCCGTTCACCACATGACAGTATCCATACTTTGACCCACCTTCATTCTTCTTGTAACATGACTTATCTGCTACCTTGGTTCCTGGGACCAGGAGCATATTTGAAAATAAAAGAGATAAAAATATTTTAATGCAGCAAAGAATTAGCATTAAAAGTACAGGTTAAGTATTCCTTACGCAAAATCCTAGGAACAGAACTACTTAGATTTTAATTTTTAAATTTTAAAATATTTGCTCATACATAATGTGATACCTTAGGGATATAGTATGAGTCTAAACATGAAATTAATTTATGTTTCAAATATACCTTCTACCCATAGCCTGAAGATAACTTTATACCATATTTTTATTATTCCTGCATTTTGGCTCTGACTCCTTACATGAGGTCAGGTGTGGCATTTTCCACTTGTGAATCACGTTGCTGCTTAAAATAATTTTGAACCTACAAGTATTTTGGATTTCAGATTTTCAGATTGCAGATGTTCAGCTTGTACCATTTTGACATAATTCTACCGAATATTCTCAGCAGTATGAGACACAATAATTTGCTATCAGAAGAGGTAGCTAGAATTTGCAATAATCTTTTAAATTTTCTACTATTAGATAATGGCCATCTAAACATCTGGAACCATGACTTACAGAAAGGTAAAACTCCATCTCAATATGAAGACTCAACCAGAAAAGCTGGTCATAATGTCAACAACCTGTAAGCACTGTTACTTAAATTCTATCCTGTTGATATGTGCTGCCATACTACATTTTTAACTCCTACTATGTGGCATGAATAATGATAAACATCACATATTTCATTTCTCATTAAATCTCCCTCACATTCCCATCAGATGGGTTCAAACCATCGTGGTTAGGACCTAAGACTTTAAGCAAGACCGAGCAATCATGTACACCAGGGCAGTGAGTTCATGTCTGGGTTGGTTTATTTGTAAAATGAAGATTATGTACAATAGTACCTCCCTCGGGGTTGATGTGAGAATTACATGAATTAACACATACGAGCCACTGAAAATGGTGCCTGCTCAGTAGTAAGTGGCTGACAAAATTTAGCTCTTCTTTATATTGGTCTCATTTTACTGCAAAGAAACCTGGAAGTCATATTAAATCTCAGACAGAGATGATAAAAACCAAAATCACTACCATCAAAAAAAGTGTCTCAGAATAATTCTTGTCACTAAATTTCTCTGGGCACAATTTCCAGGGCAAAGATTACAATATATATCTGTTTTTCCAATTTTTCTGTGAAGATTGTGCTAATCCACTTTTTTACCAGCAAAGTGTGAATTTATGTGGTCACATCTGTACCAAAACCCAACATTAACACCTGGAACAAATCTTTGCAAACTCAAAAATATAGAAGGCTAATTCATTTTGTTCATATTTATTGTACTGCTACTGGGTTAAAATGATTTTAATTTTTATTGGACATTTATATTTCTTCATTATGATGAATGGCCTGTTTGTCTTAACCACATTTTCAGTACTTGGAATTGCAACTGACTTGTAGAAACAACTTGATGTTTAAAAAAGTAACTTTTTATTATGTATATTTATATATGCAAGAAGTTTTCAGATTCACTTAAACTTGGGATCTTTTATGAATTGTAAAATTTGGAATTTTTAGGCAAATCTATTTCTCTAGCATTTTATAATGGCTGCCTTTATATGTATGATTTTAAAGCTCTTTCCAATTCTAACATTAGATGAATGTGTTCAACATCAATTCAATAGATAATTTTCAAGTTTTACTAAACTCAGGCACTGTGCTAAGAGGTAGTGGGAACACAACTGTGAAGATAGACAGAGTCCCCATTCTGGGAAGTTAATAGTCTGGTAGTAGACAGGTAAGAGAAGGCTTTGTTGCTAGATTTTTTTTTTTAAAGGAGACCTTTAGAGCTTCATTTTTGTACTAAAGGTTTTCTTTCCCCAGGCATCTGTCATATAAAGAAATTAACCAAGGAAGCATAAGGTTGTTATCCAGGAAAACTGATTTTGTTCCCTTTAATTTATCATACCCACCTCCAGGAAGTATCAGCAGGATTTCACCCAGATTCTAGCACATCGGCACATTAGAAGGTCTTTAACTTTTGCTCCCGGAAATTATCTTAGCATTCTTGTGCTGGATGCAGAGGGTTTTACTTAGAGATTTTTTCTATAAGATCTTCATGTTTCTTCTTTTCTGAGTGTTTTGTGGGTTAGGGATTTTAAATTTTTCATTCCTCACTCTTGATTTAGGTATATTTTTAGGAGTTATGTAATGACCCTTTTCAATTATTTTTAGGAATTTTTAATTTCTTTGCCTTCTTGAATAAATATTCCCTCAGCTGTTTAAGCAGGAATTCAAAGCGTGGTAGGAAAGATTATGACAATTAAATATTTGAATACAACACACATAATATTCAGGAGATTCAAATATTTGTTCTTTTAATTGCCTTTCTTTATTCCCAGAATTTTTAAATCTTTACTATCAGCCCCACCCCACCCCACCCCCGTCCCTAGTAACCACCTATTTACTCTCTACCTCTGAACATTCAATTTAGTTTAGATTTTACATATAAGTGATCTCACATATAGAATCTAAAATTGCTTTTCTAATCAAGATATTTAATAGAAATTTACTTTTGGGTTATGGTTTTTGGAGATCTTTAAATTACACTTTTTGAAATTTTTTATTATCTTTGAATCTGAGAGAAAAGGCTCTAAAGTTCCAGTGGAGAGTGACCACTTAAGAGTTGTCATGTATTTTCACTGTGCTTTTGCATTCTCTAGGTCCTTCTCCTTTTCTCCCTTTTCCTTGCTGCTAGTATTCCCCCACGATGCCTGCCACAACTGTGCACACATGTGAGCACGCATGCACACACACACACACACACACACACAGACTTCCAAGGGTTTAATTGTCTGAAGAGAATCTTAGTGTTGAAAATACACAATATGTCCTTTTTAACTTGAATTTTCTAAATAAACAAAGATGTTTTTATGATACCTCAAGTATTGCATGGGACAGATGGATGCTAAAACAAAAGATTGTTGCTAATCTGAAATCAAAATTTAACTGATCCACTCTTACCTTTGTTAGCTAAATCTAACAGCTATAACATTTTAGTCTTTAAACACACTCACCCAGGATTTTCAATAGTGACACTATTTCTAAGAATGGTGAACAAAATGGCCCTTTGACCATGATCACAGAGAGAAGAGTTCATCCCCTACCTGGCCCCCACATGTCCGTGCACTGCTCTGCCAGTGTGGGGCACCTCCCCATCAAGCAGTAACCCTCCCCATTCTGACAAGGGAAGCCATTGACTCTGAATCTGTCCTCAGGGCAGTGACTAGATTTCCCATCACACATTTCTGGCAGGTCGCACTCATGTTTTGCTGATCTGCACACTGTTCCGGCCTTTTTCAACTGCAGAAAGACAAAAACAGAAGGTTTTCATCCCACCCACCCCCCCCGCCCTTTGTCGAAATACTTCACATTAACACACATAAATTACTATTTGACCTTTCTGGACATCGTAGTTGGGAGTATAACTTTCTGCACTGTATACATTAAAGCTGTCTTTGGTTATATCACTTCTGTTGATGTTGGTCATCACTTGAAGTCTTTAAGCAACCAACATTGTGAACGTAGTATGAACATAAACTTAGTGTAGGAAATTTCAGAAGAAAATCAAGCCACCTGTCAGATCCAGAGAAGGAAGTTATTTCTCCCTTTGTTGATAGCATCCTTGTCAAGATTTTCAAGATTAATATCTGCAACTTCAGAGATTTACTGGTGTAATGGATCTTCTGTATTAAGGTTGATAGTTTTACAAGTGTCAGATTAGCAAACTGGCACAAGACTTTCCCAAGCATCAAGTTTCCTAACCTTAATTCCTTTGATTATAAGCTCAGATATTTCTTTTCAACTCACTTCTTCCTATGGAATGCTTCATTATGAAGGAAAAATAACCAAATATTTGCTTGATATATTAACTTTGCTGCAATCTGTTACTGCAAATCTTGCTCCTATTCTTTCAGAGAAACTTTAGTAAAATGAATTTTGCCATTCATGCAAATCTGAGGAAACATGTCTTTTCCTAGCTGTGTGAGCAGGCATGCCCACTCAACAGCATCATGTTGTTTGTTTTTTAAAAACTGAATTGTGTATGTTTAAAATATAAAACCCTAAATCTTGATATATGTATACAAGGTGAAATGATTACTACAGCCAAGCAAGTTACATATTTATCTCTTCACGTAATATGATGGTTAATTTTGATTGTCAGCCTGATTAGTTTCAGAGTCTCATAGGACTTCTGGGTGTGTCTGGATGGGTAATGGGGGAGTGACCTTGGGGAACAAATCTGGTCCTGGGGCCTTCCTCTCTGACACTCTCTCTGCTTTCTACATCCCACATGTCATGAGTTGACTGGCTTTCCTCTGTAAAGCCCTTCCACCATGATGGTTCTGCATTGCAGCCAGTTAACCATGGACTGAAACCTCTGAAACTGTGAGCCAAAATATTTGTACACACCAAATTCTTGGTATAGTATATCGTATCATTATCTATAGTCATCATGCTGTATATTAGATCTCTAACTTAATGCATTGAGTATAATTACAACTTTATTCTCTTTAACTAACATTTCTTCATGCCTGGTTAGCACTGTTTTAATCTCTATGTCTATGTGTACATTTTTAGACTGTGGATATACATGAGATCATTCAGTGTTTGTCCTTCCGTGCCTGGCTTATTTTCACCTGGTATAATATGCTCCAGAATATCCCAGTTGTTCACAAATAGTGGCCGTATTATTTTGCACATGTTCTACTGAGTCTCCTTTCCCCATAAAAGTAAAATGAGATTATAACCACCTTGCAGTATTGTTGAGAGATTAATAGGTATTGTTTGTGAAGAACCCACCCAGTGTCATTATTATATTTTATTTGATAAGTGTCATTATTTTATTAAAAAAACTACTTTGCTTATGTCATCTAACAGTCACTGAGATATTAGTATAAAAATGATTATAACTATTAAGATAGAATGAATTAATCTTACTTGGCATTTTTCACAGCATTCTTCTGATGCACATTGAAAACCTGCTTTGATTTTACATGTTTTAGGATCACAGCAAATGTTGGTACATTCCTAAAAAATACCAGAAGCAAAGGTGTATCATGGGTTATTTTTTGGTTCTATTTCAGCACAATTCATAACACTCTTTAATCACATAGATATTTCTTTGGTAGAATCTAAAAATGATCTTAAGGAAAATAAAAATGAGACAAAACTTGACATTATAAAAACAGACTCTGGAGCAACTGGTCATTTGTATTTATCTGAATTCTACTTAGATCTTTTTAAAACTTAAATAACTTTTCTAAATATCTTTCCTAAATATCTTTCCTCCAGTTCCAACATCATTACTCAAGAAAGATCTATTCTTCTGGGTAAAATATGAGGGAAATAAAAGAAAAGGGCAGTCTTAAATTAAATGCATCTAAATAGTTCCAAAACGTAATTGATTCAACTCCTTTGTTATATACCTATCTATCCAGCAGTAAATCAATCTCTAGAATTTCTACTGAAAAGCTGAAAGTATATTACTTTATACAAGTCTGACATTTAATTCAATTCTATTCAAAGCATTTTGTTCTGTCTTTGTCTCCCTGCTTTATTTCCAAGAAACCAGAAACCTGTGTGTGTGAGGAGCTGGAAAAGCTCCTACCCTGGATGATTTTCCTTGCCATTGTCCAGGTTTCTACACAAGAATGGTACCCTTAGAGTGATAACACTTGATGATTAAAAGTCTAGCATTCAGTGGAAATGAAAACACTGAGAAATATTACTCTTGCTTGTAGGGTGAATTAATTTATAATCCTGTTATGAAGTGACCACAAAGCTAGCCCTGAGGATTGACGCATTACTCCTGTGAAGTGTTAATAAGGTATAGCAAAGGCCTGTTTCAGCATCATGGCAGCACTGTGAGCAGGGTAAATCAAGCCTGGGGCAACTGCTGCTGCATTCTGCAGCAGTCCAAGATGTGCCAGATCTCCACTGGCCACTCCATGTTGCTGGGCTAACCAGCTTTTCCTCCTCTCTCAGCACTGTCATAGTGCTTGCCTAAAGTGATACTAAAAGAGTCATAGCAGTCACATAAAGACGTTGAGGTACACCAATTAGAATGGTGGGATGCGGACACATATCCAAAAGTAGGGAAGAGTAGTTTTTAAAAAGCATAAGAAGAATCCTGAGAGATAAATTAAGAAAAATTATTAAGCAATGCATACACTTTCCATATCAGAAAGACTGGCTTGACAAATACCTACCAATGAGCTTATCCAAAATTATAAGAAATACATAGCTTTATAGTGGGCCATATATTTTTATACTTTATCTTCTTAACAACTGGAAAACAAACTAAATCATTTTTTAAAGGCTTTGGTCCTACCTCAGGGGTCCCACAGTCACAGTCCTCACCCACTTCTACCAACTGGTTCCCACAGGATGGGGTGGATATGATATCTCTGGGTAGTGGGATGTTAAAGAGGCAATTTGATAATTTATCTTCAAGGAACCTGTCATAGTTGACATGGCTACAGGAACTGAAGTCTGTGGGTATACTGAAGCTGTGAAAACAAAGAAAAAGAAAATGGAAGACCATCATTCTTGGTATGTAGAGGCCAATATCTGACAGTGAGTAGTTAGTTATACCTACAGCTTGTTCTAAAAAAAAAAATGCCTGTTGCACTGATCAATTGCTAAATCATGAGCTCATTTGTATGCCTGAATTAATCTGACTTGGGTTCATAAAAAACACGTCCAGCTCAACAAGAAGATATGGACATATCTCAAAATGTTTAATATCTGAAACAGTTTTACTGAAACAAAAATGCTTCTGCCTCATGCAGGTAATATTCGGCCTTATATCACTTTGGGCTGTAAAGTCCTTAAGGTAGCAAAATTATTTATTCATGTATCTTAGAATTTACTTTCTCTTACAGCAGTTTCAACTGACAATGTCTTTATCCCACCAATAAAAATGAGGTTTAAATTTTGACACTACCTGAGAGAGATAATATAAGGTGTAAGAACGCCATGCACCTGTATTCTGTTTTGTGAAGGGGTGTGGGAAAGTCAAGCTTGGCTTGACAGGGCTGGGTGACACAAATAGAAAAGAGGAAATGAATATATAAAGGAAACTGTGAGATCTTTAAAAAATATGATTTCTGGGCTGGGGATTTTGCTCAGTGGTTCTGTCGCCTGCCCCACAAGCACAAGGTCCCAAGTTCGATGCCCGGTACCAAAAAATAATAATAAATAATAATAATAATAATAAAATATGATTTCCTAGAAATACTGTCTAGAGCAAGACAGGAATGTGTCACCTCTCTTCAGAGACTACCTTCACCTTCCTGTGAGAAGTTCCTTTTTGAATTTAGATTTTTCATCAGGAACCCGTTCCCTACCACCACCCCTCTGAATTCATGGAAAATTTGATACATGCTAATGTTTTTGATGCAGCATCTTGTGTAGATGAAGATAAACTGATAAGTGGCTTAAAAAACAAAGAGGCACTGTGTTTAAGCTGTGTTTTAGTTAATACAAAACATTATATGTCGATCAAGGGTAAGGTAGTGTCATATAGATATGCCAATGAATAATTCAGTTGTTAAATTATTGAATTTTAAAACTTGAGCATATTTTAAAAAGTGAGCCCAGAATATATCAAAAGAAATGTATATGCAGCATTTACCCAGAGAGTCTTACCTTACTGTTTTATTCATCACACAGACTGTGGCGGGGCACTGGCAATAGGAGGAGTCATGAATCATCCCAAGATTGTGACCCATCTCGTGGGCCATTGTCCCTGCCACTCGAAGATGATTGCTGCTGTGGTCCTAAGAATAAGAATGTGGAGAGTCTCTGGTTAGCACATGGAAGTGGCACTCAGAAGATGAGTTCTCATAATTGCATACTCTCTGTTAGTGAGTAGTATAGAATGATCAAATTCAGTGTTAGTTCTCTCCCTCTCTCTCTCTCTCTCTCTCACACACACAGACACAGACACACACACACACACACACACATCCCTTTGGTGTTGAATACCTATCTCAATATATAACAGCCCATTTTCTCTTCCAATTTTATAGCAACCTCTTCCAAATTAAAGGATGTATATTTTACTTCTGTTTATCCCATGAAGTCTATCACAAATCCAAACTCATAATATATTTACTAAAAATAATTGATTCCATTTCTACTAAGGAGTCAGAAAGCTGGAAAGAGCAATTTTCCTCTACTAACGGAAGAGAAAATTAAACAATTGTAACTTCCTTTGCATCCACTGTAAACTGGTGTTTCAGGAATAGAGAGCGTTTGTGAAATATATATTTTAAATGAAAGCTAGACAAGTATATCGCAGAAAAATGAGACTGACAGAATTCACTGTATTAGAGGAAACATTTTGAGGGTACCAGGAATCAAACTCAGGGCCTCACAGGCACTATGCCGCTGGGCTACATCCCAGCCCTTGCAGGAAATGTTTTAAAATTAATTTTATTGGGACAATTTAAAAACACATAACAATCACATTCATCAAAGGGAATTTGTACCTGTACTTAGTGTATCTTGATTCCTCTTTTGCTCCCCATCCCCTCGCCTCTCTTCCACCCTCATCCTTATTTACAAAAGCTCTGTTTCCATTTTTCCTTCTTTTCTCATTTTTTTTATTTTCTCTTGCTTCACAGTTTCCCTTTCCTTTTGAACAATTTCTTCCTATTTCATATTCTCTATTATATATTTTGGTCCTTATTTACCCTTTCGGTTTCTCACACCAGAGAGACAACGTGATATTTACACATGTATCCAATTTATCTCACTTAGGAGTATAGTCTCATGGTGCATCCATTTAGCTATAAATGTCTCAAGTTTGTTATTCTTTATGGCTGAGTGGTATTCCATTGATCAGTGGAATGGGTTTTTGGGTTGTTTCATCGGTAGATGGGTATTTGGGTTTGTTTCCAAGATTTAGCTATTACAAACTGCTGCTATAAACATGGGTGCACATATTGCTATGGTATGATGCTTTTAATTCTTTTTGTGTGTGTGCTAAACTAAATTTTTTTAAAATTAAGTTTATTGGTACATTTTAGGCATAAAATACAGTTACATTCATCATTGGGATCTTGTACCTTTACACAATGTATCTTGGTTCTTATTTTTTCCCCATTTTCCTGACCTCCCTTCAACCCCTCCAACCTTCCCTATTTACAAGGATTTTGTTTCCATTTTTTCTTTTTCTCATATTTTTTCCTTTCCCTTCTTTCCTTTCCCCTACTCCTCCCACTTCCCCTACCCCTTTAGACCTTTTCTTCCTATTTCACATTATCACTTATACATTTTGATCCTTATTTACACTTTTAGTTTCTCACACCAGAGAAACTATTCAGTATTTAAACACGTGTCCTATTTATTTCACTTAAGAGTATAGCCTCAATGTGCATCCATTTAGCTATAAATGTCTCCACTTTCTCATTCTTTATGGCTGAGTAGTAGTCTATTTTATATTAAAAAAAACCCCACATCTTCTTTATCCAATCTTCATAGGACAGTGATATATGCACACCCATGTTTATAGTGGCACAGTTTGTAATAGCTATAGCTTGATGCTTTTAATTCTTTTGGGAACATACCCAGAAGGTGAATAGCTAGGTCAAATGGGACCTCTAATTCTAATTTTTCCAGGAGTATCCACACTGATTTCCATAGTGGTTGCACCAATCTACACTCCTGCCAAGAGTGGAGAACTGTTCCTTTTTTGATCTTAGCCACAAACTAAAGATCAGTGGGAATAGAAGATGGCTAACAAAATGATGATTTTAGTGCAAGAATATCAATTATTATATTACATAAATAATTAAATAATTTCAAGGTACTAAATAGAAGACATTTTCCATATAAAATTAAAAAGAAATACTCAATTATCCACCATTAACCAGAAACTTTCTCTAAATAATAAGATGTACAAAGGTTAAAAATAGAAATAAGGAAAAGAATTTATCATGCAAATATTAGCTAAAAATGTTGCAGTAACTACATTAATAACAGATGAAGTAGACTCTGGAACAAATAAGAGTTCAGATATATCATGATGGCAGAATGATGGTAAAAGGGTTATTTCATCAAGAATAGCTAACAACTATATATACCTAAGAACAGAGCTTCAAAATTCATGAGGCAAAAACTTACAGAATTGAAAGAAGAACTGGAAAACCTATAATCACACCTA